TGTGTGTGTGTGTATATATATAATATATATATATATATATATACACATATATAATATATATATAATCTCCACCCACATGATATATGTTGTGTATGTAGGAGTGACTGGGATAGTTTCTTTTAGTATGTTTTACATCACCATGACTACAGATTTATTGTGATGATGTCTCAGATTCTATGCAGGATATCTTGGGAGCAGTTTTATATGGTCTGCTATGCACAACTTCTTGGGAGCTGAAAGCCTTAGCACAGTTTTACTGCTCCCCTCACAGAAAAACACAATCTTTATTAGCTGTACTCATTTAGTCCTGAAAGCCCAATCCTCGGGGTTTATGTACAGGGTCCTTGTCCAGAGTATCAATATAATCGTCTACATTTCACATTCATACAAGACAGGATAGCTTTCCAAGATGCTGGTATGCGCTATACTAATCTTCATTAAATCAACCCATACTTTTTAATTTTTTGCCAATTGCACAACTGATGTGAACCTTTCTGTCCTGTTATTTTCTCGTTGATTGCCTGCAAGTATCAAAAGCCGTACTCTGGGATAAGCAAATAATGTCTGAATAGAAGAGTCAAGTGTATTCTTACCTGAATCTTGGTGTGCTTGTGTATTTCTTTCAGATCTGTGCAGTAGTCCAGTGTGGAACTTGTGCAGGAGCTTCCTGTAATAAAGACCAGTCACTGCTGTTCTCTCTCCGTGTGCAGTGACTGGTCTTGTCTCCGCCCCTTCCAGTAGTTTTCTACTTGGAAGCTTGTAGTGGGCGTGGTCTGTTGGGTCCCTCCCATAGCTCTGCTCAGGCTACAAAAAGCACAGTGATGGTGCCACTGATGCACAAAATAGTTATTAATCCTTTTGTGGCTAATGAGGAATATATTTCAATGTAAGTTGTTATACTGTACCTGGAGTTTAGCTTGAACAAAAAAAAATACCTGGCAAAACGTCTCATAAAGTTGAAGTTCGGGAACTTTTTTTTCTTTAAAATTAACATTGGTCCAAGGAAGAGATTGTGACCTGATACCTGGTCCAAATGGAGAAAGCTGAAAATATAAGACATTCTCTAAATATAAGACATTCTCCGTGTTCAGTCGCACTATTGTGCAAAGTTTTTTCTAAATGATCATGTTAGTATGCAAAGTGCTAAAACGGAACAAGAATCAATGTTGATGTTCTTGAGGCTTAGTGCCAGCTAGGGCATAAGTCCACAGTGACACTGAGATTGATTTGCAGGGTATTACAATACACTTGAAGGCAATCACAATGTGCCAAAAATTAATCCAATATTTTTAACGTTGCGAGCGATTGGTCCAGACAGCAGCTAGGAGCAAAACTTTCACCTAGCTGCCAGGCCATGCTTGACCCGGCAAAGCTCTGGCACTTCCTGGTAGTATCAAAGTTTGCCCGCTCCCTCCAGCCCCCTACATAGTCCTATTGGGCTATGACTCTGATTGGACATTTAGGCTTGGCAGGGACAAAGGTGGCTCCTGCAGTTATGTGCAGGCACCTCTGTTGTCTGGCCTTATACTTTCTGGCTGTATTATCCTAAAATGATAGTCACTTTAAGTTGTTTTTTTGGGGATAATTTAACTTTATTAAAGGAGAACTATGGGGTTAAGTCTTTTCCCCATAGTTCTCCTTAGGGTAACGGGAGGACACAAACTAGCGTCCTCCCATCACCCTAGGCTCAGTATACTGCAAGCTGTAGCTCGCAGTATACTGAGACGCCGCAGTATAGTAGCTCGCGGTATACTGAGACGCCGCAGCTGAAGCGGATCCCGACAATTGTGCTGGGATCCGCCCATCTGCATGACTGACAGCTGTCTCTGCCTATCTAGAGGCAGAACCAGCTCTACCCGCCTCCCCCGTCCGTTCCGCCAGTCAGCACGGGTGGATCGGAGCGGGGAGGGGGGAATCCAGCCCCTCCCCCTGTCATGGCAGAGAGCCGTGACAGGATCGAGAGGTGAGCGAACGCCTATATGTGTTCGCTCACTTCCCGATCTACTGAGCCGAACTGTGACCGTTTCATTGTCACAGGTCGGCTAGAACTATGAGGTGAGTGAAAAGCACTCACCTCATAGTTCTCCTTTAAAGTGACACCTTAAAAATGCATTTTAGTACGTAGAAGGAAGAACAGTGTCAGCACCAATTCAGAGATGATTTGAGGATCTACAGCCGAGTGATACACAAATAGGATACATTTATGTTAATAGTCATTGTTAGGTTAGTAGTTAAGGTTTAACTCCTGGGTTCAGTGTCACTTTAAGTTACTTCTCTGGCCCCTGAATGGTTAAAATCATCAAACAATATGGTGTTGTTATCTTTCATTATTATCATTAAGGGATGCAGATCCATGAAATTCCACTGCATCCAAACTTGTCTAACTGGATTTTCACGAGCGATGAGCGTCTTGTGGTTTAATGGGTATTATAAGTGTGTGTAGGCAGGAGAAGGGATAGTGCTTGGTTAGCCGTGATGGGAGTCTTGTATGTTGAAATGTGCAGCAAATTCAAGTGGTGGCAAGGCAGCTTTGAATGGGGCTTAATATCTGAGTGAGTCTGAGTTTTCCCTTTTTTTTTTTTTTTTTTTAACCAGTGCCTGAAAATGACTACGAAGAGGAACCTGTTTGTGCGGCTGGTGCCGTGCCGGTGTTTGCGGGGAGAGGAAGAAACTGTGACCTCGCTTGACTACTCTCACTGCAGCCTGGAGCAGGTGCCGAAAGAGATTTTCACATTTGAGAAAACCTTGGAGGAACTTTATTTGGATGCCAACCAGATTGAAGAACTTCCCAAGGTACCACTTTTACTTTACAGGTTTCATCTTTTCCATGACACTAATGACAAGCAGCCCTTTCTCCTGGGTCTCTTCCAGCCGTGCTTTATAGGCATTAGCTCACGTCGCTTTCTTGGCAGAATCCTGTGCCAGCCATTCACTTAACGCCCGGCTCCATCTCATGAGCACTGCATTCAGCCAGGGAGTTCCTTACACTTCCAAAATCCTCATTTAGCTGGCATCCTGTCACGTTTATTCTCTAGAAGATGCTCAAAATGTTTTTTTTTTCCTTCGAATTGACATCAATGCTGTCAAAAGCTGATGTAATTTCACACTGCTTCTCCCTCCTACTTTGATATATTGCAGGCATTGCACACTCCGCCTCCGTTTTAAGGACGCATGCACTTTTTAAATGCCTGAACTCTTTAACCACTTTCCATCCGGCCGTTAATTAAACGGCCGGACGGTGGCTTGCTAAATACGAGTGGGCATTTTAAATGTCCTTTCTCCTACTCTCCCGTTCTCCATAGCTGGCTGTTTAAAATGCTAACAGAAATCTGAGAGCGGGGAGGCGCGCACGAGCGGCAAACTGTATTTTAAACAGCTGACGATGGTTGTTCACATACAAGCATTCAGGCAGCTGTAGAGCCGCCCAATCGATTGTATGTTGTGTCATAAGGTGCCCATACACCTTACGATTATCAGGGCGGAACTTTTCGTCCGATGATCGAACCGTCGTACGATTGTCGTACGGCGGCCCCATCCTGCCTCGATTATCGCAAGGTTCAATCAGCGGTAGTTAAAAAAAAAAAACACCTGGATGGATTGCAGTAATCAACCTTATTTTCGTTTGCGCATGAGCAGTGTTACTCGTACGACTTGACGGACGGAAACGCCACCAACCATGCGAAAATCGTACGATCGACCCCACTTTTCAAACATACTTGAACGCCAAAAGTCGTACGATTTGTACAGTACTGTCGGTCGGGCACTACACATACACCTTACGATTGTCGTACGAAAAGTCGATCGCATACAATTATCGTACGATAACCGTAAGGTGTATGGGCACCTTAAGTGTGTGGTCGTCAAACACCCCCAACCCCCCTTCCGCCAATCCCGGGTACCGCTGTTCCTGTGCTAGCCCATCACCAGCACAGCAGCTCTTGGTACTGAGATCGGAGGGAGTTCAGCACATGATCTCCCACTGACCTCCCCTCCAATCTCTGAATGGGAAAGTGATGTGATTATATCACTTCCACCTTCAGCTGTCATTTCTCCGGCTTCTGTAGCCGGCTAGAAGCTGGTGAAGCAGATCTCTGCTTAATCGGCTTCTTTGGGGGTCTCTAGGTGACATTAGTGGTCTAGTTGACCCCTGGTGTCTCCTTAAAGAGGACCTGTCACATCCACTTTGCTATCACATAGGCCCCTTTGTGATCGCAATAAAGTTAAGTGTAAAAAAAAATATTAGTCAGAAAAAAAGTTTTACGTCACACACACGCACACGCCATTTTTCAGTATTCAGCGCTGAGGTACTTTGACATTTATTCCGTCATGCAACGCTGTACTGAGATGACTTTTATACAATTTTTTGGGGGTACAGGTAGAGCTTTCTTTTGGTGGTATTTAACCACTTCAAGACCAGGTGTTTAGACCCCCTTCCTGGCCAGGCCATTTTTCAGTGTTCAGCGCTGCGATTAATGAAAAATTACAGTAAATTTTGAAATTTTTTTTTTTCCCCCTTAACATTTATTATTATCCAATTTTTTGGTTTCTTTATATGTGACTTTTATTTTATTGTTTAAAACATTTTTTAGACGTAATGTTATTGCTGTCACGTAGGGGGCTAACAATCTCCCTATGTGATAGCACAGGCAAGCTAACAGGTCCTCTTTATGGAGACATTAGTGGTCTCCAAGACCCCTAATGTCACCTGGGGACCCCCAAAGAAGCTGATGAAGCACAGATCTGCTTCACCGGCTCTGCGATCGGACGGCTATAGAGCCGCTGATCGCCTGTATGTGTAACAGCCTGTAACGGCTGTTTACATTAAACAATTTAGTTTTTCTGCCCGTGTGCGTGCGCTAGGAAAAAAAGCCGTTTATTTACGGTAACCCGCCAATGGGAGTTTGCCATCCTTCTGGTTTTTTTTTTTACAACAGGCGGACGGCAAGTGGGTAATAATGCAAGACTGCATATTCAGATCGCTACAGAATTACCATGATTGATAAGACATCTTAATTATATCCAGCCTAATCAAGCAGATGTGAAAAAATAACCATGTGACTAGTATAACTTGCCTCTGAGTTGCTTTGACATAACTGCTTTTGCCTTCAAGCTGACTTGTTTGAGGAAGAAAAGTAGCTCTGATTCAAGTAAAAAAGCCATTGACAGGTTTCCTAAAAGTCTTTCTGCACAAAGTGCCTCCATTCTGTATGCATAACACCATGACAGCGCTCAGAAACTTCAGCTTTGGGAAAGTAATGCACTGTTTTAGGACACAGTAAATGTGTCACGTGTCTAAAAGAACAACTCTGAGCAAATACAATCTTAACTTGCATGGTTTTACCCCCGCACTGTAAGGGTTAAGTGCTTGTTTTCCCCAGGGAGCTAAAACAGCAGCAATATAGTCAGTGATAGTGGCCTAGAGGGGGTAAAGTGACACTAAACTCAGCAGTTAAACCTGAAAAATACATTCAAGTACCCTAACTATGAACAAAAATGTATCCTCAGCGGGGCGGGCTTTCAATCGCAAGTACGATCTGCCCGTCCAAGGTGGGCAGATCGTACGGGCTTTCAAGAAGCATACGACCATCGCATGGAGACATTAGGGGTCTCTAGCACTGTAAAATGCTACCAAAAGATTAACTCGTAACTCTGTAAATGTGACAGGAATGAAGAAACTGGTAAAAAGAAATAGTTTAGCTGAATGTGACTATTAGTACCCAGCAGTGTAGCCCTTGTAATGTTGGCAGCCAGCTGCTTGCTGTTATGCTGAGTGTGCCTGTACATGAAAGCTCGAGTTGCTTTTCATCCGATGTTATGCTGCCAATCTGTGAGGAGCAAATGAGTTGTCCACCTGATCAATATGTGCCGTGATCTAAAAATCACAGGATGAAAAATCTAATCTTATGTTGGCAAAGGCAGTCACCGTACAGCTGTATTTATTGTCGCAGTGCAATCACTACATGTGCACGACCAAATTATTTAAAAGCTCTAGCAGCCTGATCGAAAAGCTGGGCATACTCGAAGGTAGATTGCACAGTGAGACACATTTCTGAGGAATTCTATAAGAATCTCACTGGGGAAATTGTAATCAATCATAAGACCGAAGTGGGTCTTGGTTCTGATCCAGCCATATGTATTTATTAAACATGTATAGTTGTTGTGATGCAGCAGATATATGCAGGTGATGTTCTGTGCCCCTGTGATTTCTAAAATGAATGATCATATCTCATCGAATATGTCCAAGCTATATGCACAGCTTGACAGGCAGGACCAGGGCTCATAGTGCTCTTTACTGTGAGCCGAATGGCTGGTATATGAGCATCACTGAGCCATGCTTCTGCAACCAGCGGGCAAGTGGAATTGTGGGGCTTCTTGATAGCCAGACTTGGTCATACTGCTGGTGTGTTGGTCTAATTTGCTGACTGAGGTAACATGCTGGAATATTAATATCACAGGGCCGTGCTTCTTCATGGCAGCAGCCAGCTGGGGAGTCCGGAGTTCACAGGAACCAATGGCATTTTAAAACTTCCTGATTACCAGAATTAGTGAGGCTGCTGAAGTGTTGCTCCGATATGCTTATTTAACAATAGTTTTCCCAATGGGCAGAGTGATGTGATGTTGAAGTGACTTGATCCAACCCTGATCTCCAAGGATGTAAAGATTGGAGGCAGGACACTAAGGAATCTAGCAGGAGAGAAAGGTGGGAGCTGCTGTTGCTGACTTGTCTTTAAGGTGCATGTTACAGTGCTGTCATCTAAATCTTTCTACTTAGTCAGTGACCTGGCACAAGCCGGTGTCAGAGCACTGAATATGTGTACAAAATATTGGCAACTCCCATATTTCTGCCCTGACAGGTTCCCTTTAAAGTAAAGCTGGCAAGTTTATCCCAAGTCTTAACTACTTAGTGAGTCACAAGCAGCAAGCAAGTCATGCAGCCAGTGAAGTCAGAGCTTCCGACTTTCATACTCCAGGGTCTAAGTAAAGAATAGGATGAGCTTCACAGCCAGGGAACTCGTGATTTCTAAAGAGAGTCTGCTGTGGTTGCTCCCTTATATTTTATCATGACCAAATTGTGAAATTGTATAACAAGCAGTCAATAGTGCCACTTCCCATTTCACAGTGCCAGGCTGTCTCCTAGTGCGCTCCTGGAGGTCTCTCCCCAATTCCTGTGTAAATCCTGACTTTTTGAAGATTGATATGTGCATATGGCTACAGCATGGTGCTGGCCTACTCATGCTCAGAGGATTGCATTGTAGGAGATAGGAGGGGATTTTTTGCCCCAAATCTAGAAGTTTGGGTTTTCAGGGGCGCTCCATGGCATATTGGAGAGGTGATCTGGCAATCTCAAGGTAGGTGAGAATGTGACGAAGGTTCTGTTTTAAGAGGCAATCACAGCGGGGGGAATTTATCAAAACAATATGCAAGAAAAATGCTTGTTTGGAGCAGCAATTTCATTCTTGTAACATCTTGGAATGAGATTTATGCTGATGGTTTCTGCACTCTTCAAGGTTAGCTGAGCACGTTTTGGCAGATTCCTAACTATCAGCAAAACACTGCACTTACCTGTTTCTATAATTGCACAGTATACCCAGAATGCTGAATCCTACTGACTTTTAATGTACTTCTTTTGGTGTGTGACCTAGATTTCTCAGAGTCGGACCATTTGTTTAAGTTGCGTTTGTTCTGGATCATGCTCTTAAGTAGCCTTTTGCTGTACTTTATTGTTGTGGCCTGACAAGGTATCACTGTGTTGCAGATACTGGCCTCAGCAGGAAGTGTTACATAAATGCCTT